TGGGCGGAGGGTGCGAGGCGCGGGGTGGTGGGCGGGGCGTACCTCTCGTTCAAAGGCACGGAGCGGCAGATCCAGCGACGTAATCCCAATAAATTCCGTAAAGGTCTTTGGACGCCGTTTCGTTTTCCTCGTGATGAGGACACACACACGCGTGAACTCGCGCTCGCGTGCCGCACGGGGAGGGGTGGTCCCCTCGCCAGCTCTCGTCGGAGAGAGGCTACACGAGCGTGGGGTAGCTGCGGGCCCGGGCGGCGCGGGGTTGCCTTGCCTGCGCTCGATCCTACCGGCCCGGCAGACCAGACTCCACTGCCGACGGGCCGACGCCGCGCCGCGCCGACGCCGAAGGACTTGGACGCGGACCCGAGCCGGAGCCGAAGCTTGAGCCGAGCAAGGGGAGCAGGGAGTCGCGCCGACGGGCCGACGCTCCGCTCGCGGCTGCGCCGCCAGTCGGGTCGTCCGCGGTCGTGGCTGCCAGCCTCGTCCGGGCGGTCGCTTCGCGGGGCAGAAGGGCGGACGTCGAACAACTGAAGTACGGCGGGCCAACGGCGCCGCGCGCTGTAGGACTCTACCGCGCGCCTGCGCAGGCCCTCCCCGCCCTCCCCCCGGCCCTGCGGCCGAGAGCTGCCAGCCGGGCTGGCCGCCCGGAATGTGTTCGGCTCCACGGGCGCCCGTCCCGCGCCCGCGAGGAGGCGAAGGCGAGGAGGGAGGGCCACTACCGTGCGCGCGGGCCGACGGCGAGGGCGCGTCGCGGCCGCGAGCTGGAGGCTGGGTGCCCTGCCGTTCCGCCGCGGGCCGCGGGCTCCGGCTCCAGTTCGACCGACGAGGGGCACTTCTGTCTCCTGCTAGCGAGATCGCAGTTGGCTCCGCCGGGTGGGACTTCCATTCATTCGCCATATACTTTGTCGGACCGCCTCACCCTCATCGCTCGAGCGTCCCGCCGCCGCCCCTCACACATCGGATCGATTATGGCCATCCTATCCTCCTAGCCAATCGCCGATCACCCTCTCCCCCCCCCC